ACACACACACACACACACACACACACACACACACACACACACACACACATACATCCCTGAAAAGCAGAAAGTGCCATTAAAAGACATGGCATCACTATAATTCTAAATTCTCTCCAAGGATACCCCAAACCTCAGTAATCTTAATGGACCTCCCCAAAAGCTGGAGAACATTCTGGGATGTCCAGATTCACTACCACTTAACTCACTGATTCTCAAGGTATGGGATGATGGGTTCTCTCGAAGTTCTGAAGTACCCTCTGATCTACATCTCTGTGAAGAATGCAGAAGCAGATTGGAAGGAGGGAGTTGTATCAAGAAAAACATCAACAAATGTGCAACAAGGTAAGGCAATGGCATCCTTCTTTCTATATTATTAACATGTAATAGTTATTTTTAATTGAATTAATAAATATTATTTCTCATACAAGAAGTACTGGATTTCAATCCCCACTGCTTTTTTTTTTTTTTTTTTTTTTGGTGGTACTGAGACAGTATAATGAGGTCCTTGGATAAAACTGCTTTTACCACTGACCTGTTTATATTCACTAAATTCGAGACTTAATTTATGTTTGAATAATCAAGCAGAATTGGCAAAATGGGTAGACAGATTAATGTTATATATATATATAATATATGAATATATATTCATATACATATATTAATTCCTTTTAGCAACAAAGGAGGACTAGGAAACAGCAATCACTTGCCTCCCTACTGACCTCATGTTTCCCTTTCCTCTCACCTTCTTCTTCATAGGCTGGTTGGTTGTCTTTTTCTTTTTTTGAGATAGGTTGAGATAGGGTTTCATGTAGCCCAGGCTGGTCTCAAATTCCTGATTCTCAATACCTCCCAAGTGTTGGGATTACATGCCCAGCTCCTCTTTTGCTTGACTCTCCTGTACACATTTTTTTTTCTTTACAGTTGGCAATATTTAATGTAACATATGTAGAAGTTATTTTAAGAGACAAATCATTAGATTATACCTAATTGCTTAATTTTCCAGAAAATGGTTTTCACTAAAAAGTGTTAGAAAATATGGGAGTAGGGAGAATGTATTTCTGTGAAAGCCTTTAGGACAGAGTCCTGACTGGGCAACGAGGACTGATGTTATGAACGTATCTCTACAGGTTGGCAGCACAGGAAACTACAATCAAGCTTTCCATTTTTTAACATTTCATTTATCACCACACACAAAACAAAATTTCTGCTCTTAAATACAACAATATTCAAATTCTGTTATCAAATATCTTGAGAATTTACTAACAACCTCAAATATTAATTATGGAATAATTCCCCAACAAAGTATTTATCAATTAAATTTTTAGTTTCATCTTTGAGAACTTTCAGAGTGTATTTTTTTCCTGTTATAGATCCTGACAACACAAAGTGCCAACTTCTCTTATGGATAACACAATGAAAATGTACCGTCATTAGAAAGATGAGAACTTTCTATTCTTCTCAGGAAGGTGGTATTTTCCTTGACACCTGTTAATGTCCTCTGGTGAAAGTTTATGAGACAAGACAATCTGTGAGCCACCCCAAGCCCTCAGTACACCCTAGAAAAGCCATACTAAATTAAAACACATTATCTGAAACAAATGGCTAGGGAATGCAGAATGCAAGAACTGGAGATTTGAAAGCCCACATTCCAAGAGGAGAGACACTCACAATTTCGCATAAAAATCACAAAATTCCTTGTAGACTTTTACATCACTGTGCCTGCGCTGCAGGTTGGACACAGCTCTCTCGTCTTCATTCCCATTATCTTCCAGGACACTGTTAAGGGTTGTCCCGGGGATTTCTTCATTTTCTGGGATAGTGCAGGGTAGTGATCGTCCTGGGAAGGCCATTGTACAGGCTTGAGAGTTCAGAGTCCTGAGATCCCGAGCAGGATACAGAGAAGAGAAACAATATCCAGGCCTTCTGTTTCCCAGCCAGGGTTACTCCCACTGTTCCTACATGAGTCACCCAGCTGCCAGGGTCACTACTGACTTTTCATGTTAAAAGCTCAGTAGCACAGCGGTCTGGCTCTATTACAGCTCCTAGGAGCTCTCAAAAACATTTCATATGGCAGTGACAATCTATTTCTGAGCGATTCTCCATTTGGGTGTGTACATAATCTTTTGAAAAGCTTGACAAGCTCCAGTGAGGATTTGTGAGTGGCTAAAATGAAGCATTATGTAGTCTTTTGTTATCTTTGTTCTTCATACAAGAAACAATATAGTAAGGGCTTCAACAAATAGATACAGTGTAAAACAGAAAGAGCTAGAGTTTAACTGTAACTCTTCTATTTAATCCCAGCTAATCTTGTAACAGGAGAGTCATGGATTCCTCCTGGTGTTCCTGCTATATTTAGCTCAAACTACTGTCTTGTAATTGTGTTTGTCATGATGATAAGAACAGCATAACATGAGGCCACACAAGGGTTCAGGGTTTTTCTGTGGTTCCATTCTTTAGTCCAGTAAGACATCCTACCCAAAGCAAGTACCCCAAGGAACTTGTGATCAGACATAGTACAGGTCATTCTGGTAACAGGAGAGCCATGAAACCTCCAACACACACTCAACATACAGTTGAGACCTAACTAACAGTAAGTATCTTCAATCACATCACCACAAATTCTATGAAATGGGTGTTACTCATAAGTAATAAAACCAAAGCCACAAAGAGACTGAAAAATAAGTGATAAGAGTCAAGACTTAAGCCTAGGAGTTATGCTGTAACTTCTCTGAGAGAAAATGGCTGAACAGAATCACTTGGAAATAAAACAGGTGAACCCAAAATCAGTATGTGGCAGATATAAAATAAAACCAGAAGCAGGAAATGAGATCACATCTCCCTACTTTGAATCTAGAGATATCAAAATGATGAGGAACTCAAAGACTGTGGCCTAAGACCTGCAGAGACCTGAAGCTGATAAATGATAAAACAGGGGGATCACTAGTTTTAAATAGTAAAGAAACAGCTTCATGGTGCAAAATGTTATCCTTTCTGTTTATCTATAGGCCCTCATTTTTTGTTTGTTTTTATAAGTAAAACAGAGGAAAGACAGAATCAGACAATCAATTTCAGGCTGAACATATGCCACTCCTTCAGTTTCCTCTCTGAAGTAGAGGAAACAGGTGGAGTTGGGAGCCTGACAGTGGCATAGCTGCTCCAGTGCCTTTGAGTGCAGAGCTACTATGGCCACCAATCAAACAGGACAGTGCTCTCTTCCTATAGAAGTCTCTTTACTGCAATCCCTGACTAATCTGTTTTTTACCTGTATAAACTGTCATTTGTGGAATTCCAACATATATATATGATGGCCGACGTTGGCTTTGTTTATCACTAAGATCTGTCCAGGTTGCTATACACATAAATAGAGTTTGCTCTCGTGTTGCTGCCTAACATTCAGTAGTATTAATGTATGTATGGTCAAGCCATTCATCCACTGCAGAAGAGTAAAGTACTTCATAATTTTAGGCTATACAAATAAAAATTGCATAGAAGCTTCCGTGTAAATGTATATTTATATTTCTCTTGAAGAAATGCCTTACAGTGAAACTGTTGAGCTGTATTCCAATCATACTTTAACTTTGGAAACAACTCCTAGGAGTGGTAGTACATACCAGTAATATCAGCACCTAAGAGGCTGAGGCAAAAGGATTTAGAGTTTAGTGCCAACGTGGCCTCCAGATGAAGGCCAGGCTGAGATTTGTCTAAACAAAGCAAAGACCAGCCTTTTATTTGGCTGGGGTGTGCTCAGCAGTAGATTACTTGCCTACCATGAGCAATGAAAAACAAACAACAAATAAAGATCCTTCAGTCAGTGACCTTATATTACAAGTCCAAAACCTCCCACAGAATATAATTCTCCCTCACACTGAGAAGAAACCTGTGACCTGTAAAGACATTTGATGACCACATATGGGCTGCACAAAGAATCTAAAATGTCCCCTTTGACAATCCATCCAATAAACAATCTCTCATTTTACTCCTGTAAATTGTCCCACTACCAGCCTGCAGGGAGGCAGAGCTGACACATATCTCTGGGTCTCCAAATTAGCAGATCATTCAGCAAAACTTGATGCTACAGAACTGGCTTCTAGGCATGTCAGATAGTCATTGCTCTGGATCAAGTGTCATACTACAGAAAGCAGCTAGAAGATCTTTTATTCAGTTTCCTCTATCCCCATCCTTGAAATTTATTTCATTTTGGTTTTGGAGACAGTTTCATAGCTAGCTCAAATTCAGTATGTAGTGGAGGCTGGCCTTTACTCCCAATTTTCCTGCTTTTACACCCTAAATGCTGAGATTATAGGCAACTATAATTATAGTTCAACTGTGCCCAGTTTAAGCAGAATACTTCTTAGATTTTTTTTTTTTTTTGGACAGGGGCTCATATTGTAACCCAGGCTTGCCTCAAACTTGTGGTTCTTCTGCCTCAGTACAGGAATGCTGGGATTATAGACATGTGCTAAAATACCATGTATACACATTTACTTTTAATGACCTATTTGTTCACATCAATGTTTGACATTTATACACACAGACACATACAGACACACAGACACACAGACACACATACTTCTGGCTTAACACTTTAGTCATCTTAGTCACATTATTTCTTTGGGCAAAGTGTAGCAAATTCAAAATGTTCTCTACTAGCTATTTTGAAATATTCAATTAATTGTTGCTAACCAGAGTCATCCAATGTAGTATAGCATAGTCCATCTGTATCTCAGTTTCCATTGGCTGCCCTCTTTTCATTAGCCAACTCTTTCCCTTGCTTAGTCAGTGGTGACCACATGTATAATTTTTTTTGTACTTAATTTCATTTAAACAATGATTTCTAGTGCTGAATAAGACAATTTCTTTCTGTTTTGATGGTCAAACAATTTTACTCTGTATGTGTGTGTTTGTGTGCGTGTGTGTGCACTTGCATGTACAATATGATATTCCTTGATGCTGGAATCTACAAAATAAGATCCATTCTACTATATTGAAGTGTATGCTACCTGGCTTAAATGCTTATGTAATTTACAAGTCCAGTTTATTTTTGGTAATGGCTCTTGGTTCTTATTATTAAATGTAGCAAAAGAAGACCTTAATTTCATAACTGTCTGGTAATGACTGACATAATCAGCCCTTTTATTTTTACATGCTGGAAGAATAACACAGAATTGTGGATTGATGAAGAAGGCTACTGATACACGGACATAATACCACAAAATCCTCTATAATCCTCTATGTGATTTGTCTGTTATCTTTGTAATTTGTACTTGATTGCTTAAGAGAAAATTTTTAAAAAGAGAAAAAAATTTACATAATGAGTGGCAGGAAATCTTTAGACTGCCAAAAGACACCAGCCAATATAATTTGGATAATAGAAATTGACTAAATACAAAATTTCACCCACATTCTTAAATCTCAGCCACACGAGCTGAAGACAGGCACCAAAGCATCAAAACATAGTGGAAGGATTCCGTGGTGTTATTTGTGGAGGGTATAATTGATGTTTACAGCACAATCAAGACTTTTTCCTTGGGAAAGTAGGCGAGAGGACTATGTTTCTTGTAGGCCTCAGGAGGGGAAAGCAAATGACAGCCAGAGAGAAACCTAACTCATTAGGAACAGTACTGACACTTGCATATATTTCTGTTGGATGGGGTCAGAAGCTACCTGAGAACAGAGTGGGTAGAATGAAAATTACAGGAGGTCAGAGAATATGGAAAGTCAGAGGCTTTTAAAATTCAAACTAAAATCAAACTTAAGAAATAAAGACAGTGCTGGGTAGTAGCAGCATATGCATTTGAACCCAGCACTGGGAGACAGAGGCAGGTGTATCTCTGAGTTCCTGTAGGCCAGAGAGTCTACATACAGAGTGAGTTCCAGGAAAGGCAGGGCTACACAGAGAAACTCTGTCTCAAAAAATAAAGAAACAAAGATAGTAAAGATGATTTAGTATTTCAGCAACTACTTAGTCAGTTTTAATTGTTTTTTAAAAAGATTTTATTTTATTTTATTTATGTGTGGTTTGTGTAAGTGAATGCAGTGCCAACAGAGGCCAGAAGGTGTCAGATTCCCTGGAGCTGGAGTTACAGGAAGTTGTGAGCTATTGGACATGGGTGCTGAGAACAGAACTTAGGTCTCTGGAAGAACAGAAAAAGCTCTTAACTGATGAACCATCTCTTGAGCTCACATTTTATATCTTTTGAGCTACAATTTTCCTTATAAAGATAAATTTGCATGTATTTTATGCATATGTGTGTATACATGTTGTATGTATGTGTGTAGTATATGTTACTACCTGGTTGCAAACCAGTTGATCATAAATATATACATTTATTTCTGTCTCCTCTCATCTACTCTATTAGTCTGTGAGTCTGTTTTTATGCCAGTGCTATGGTTCTTAGTTAATAATATTCTGCTCAGGACTGCTTTAGCTATTTGACAGTCTTGTGGATCAATCCAAATTTTAAGACTACTTTTTCTACTTCTGCAGGTACTGTCACTAGTCATTTTTTTTTTTTTCCTTCAAGACAGGGTTTCTCTGTGTATAGCTCTGGCTGTCCTGGACTCCCTTTGCAGACAGGATTAGCCTCAAATTCAAAGAGATCCGATTGCCTCTGCCTCCCAAGTGCTGATCTTATTATGTGTATTGGTATTTTGTCTGCACATGTCTATATAAACATGGAGGACAGAAGAGGGTATCAGATCCTCTGGGGTAGAGTTACAGTTGTGGGTCACCATGTCGGTGCTGGATTGAGCCTGGGTTCTCTGGAAGAGAAGCCAGTGCTCTTCTTCTTTAAGCCATCTCTCCAGGCCTTAATGGTATTTTGATAGGAACTGAACTTGTTGGTCACAATGGGTTTTATAGACATTATAACAATTCATGAACATGTATATGTCTTTCTAATTTGAAAGAC